CCCAGCATTCCCGTGTCTTTTGGGGCAACCGCCTCGGCTCTACAAGGTGATGACGGCCTGTGACGGCGCGTTGGGGGTCCCCCGTCTCCTGCACCCCGAAATGGCACAAACAGACTGCACCAGCCGGTGGAATAGAGGAAGCGGCTCCAGAGATGCTGAATTTATACCAGCCAGGGACTTGGCCCTCAGTCCCCAGCAGGTGACTCTCTGACCAGTTATTTTCAATGGCTTCTGAATGTAACTGTGATGGCGCGTTGGGGGTCCCCCGTCTCCTGCACAAAGGCCAAAAACAGCCGCCCCCAGCCGGTGGAATAGAGGAAGTTTATTGCCTCTCCAGGATACAGCACAGCACAGATGGAATCTGGTCACAGAGCTGGGCTAGGATGCCTCAGGCCCCCTTGAGATGGGGGAGACTGGGCCCCTAAACTCCAGCCCCTTTCCCTAGGCTGTCTCCTCCATCCTCACAGACAGCAACTAACTAACTCTCTTCCAGCCCTGCCCCCCAGCCAGGGCAGCATCCACCTTCCTTTGTTCCTCTCCATGGGGGGTGTCTGGCCACTGGTTTGCATAGTGACTCATCCTGTTTTGCTGGGTCGTGGTACCCACGGCAGCCAGTGGGGGTTACCCCAGAGCCAGCAGCACAGAAACCAGCCAGGTACCCCCACTACGTCACACGGCCATTCGCTGCATGCGGTCTTAGCCAAGGCGTTTAAACTCTCTCTCGCCTTTCCCACCGTCTGATCTGTCGGGAAACACAGCCAGTCTCTCTGTTGTACTATTCCATGTTTTCTGAACAGTCTCGCGGTTTCCTACAGGGAAAAATCTCATTTCACACTAAGTCCATGGACCGCGATCAGCTCTCCCTGGATCGGCACACATCGCACGGCCCGTCCCTGTCTTTTCCAGCAGTTTAACTTGACTTCTCACATGACTGGAGCGCAGCATCACCTCTGGGTTCTGGGCCTGCGTCATAGACCTGTCCTCAGCCTGCGTGCACAAGCTCCTTGTATGACCTCATTTAATGATCTTACTAGCCACTGTGATGTAGTGTCAGTACCTTGCTGGTCGCTATGCTTGGGCTGTGGGTGACCCCCACTGGCCGGCGTCCGGAGCACTGCCCAGCAGGTGGGCTGCCTAAGATGCAACTGGTCTGACCGGTTGAGGGCAGCGAGGGAATGAGGAAGTGAGTGTTGGGGGAAGGAGCAGTCTGGGGCTGGAATCATGAAAGAACCAGTCTAAGGAGGGGGCTGGAATCTAGGGGTCCAGGGATCCCATGTCAAGGGGTCTGAGGCATCCTGGCCCAGACTCCTATAGACACATCACGTCTATGCTGTGCAGTATCCGGGAGAAGCAGCTGGTGGAGTCTATTCTTGCTGCTACGGGGCTGCAGGATTGGAGGAACCCCAACACGTTGTCACAGCCACCTCCTCATCTTAGAGCTTGGTTTGCTGCTCTGACAATCATTTAATGCCGGGCAGGGTGGAATGTGCCGGGAGCCACGACAGCGGCCTGCATTACTGCAGTAGCATGGAATGCTATTTCACTTCTGCCGTACTGGCTCTCCAAGTTCCCTTTGCTGCTGGTCAGAATGCCCGACGGGGAATCAGATACAAATTACACTTGCAGCCAGGTACAAATCTCTAATTCCAGTGAGTTTCAACATTTTCTCCATTAGTGCAGCCATCAGAATGGCTGCATAATTCAATAACCTTTCCGATTTCAAGACTAGGAACACAGAAGGCTCCTCCCACTCCCATGAATTCCTGCTCCACAAACAGGGGAATCAGTGTCCAGCTGTAATCTGATTTCCCATCACTAACATTTTTTTGGTTCTCTCTCTCAATGGCTCTGTCTTACATATCTCCTTTACCCATTTTTGACTCTGATAATATGAGGAAGTGTGTGGCAACCCATCTAATTTGTCCATTAAGTATTTATGAGGCTTGCTGGGAGCTTAACTGCCATTTTCATGATTCCCTCTGTCCTCTGCCCAACAGGTTAGCTCTTAAGTCATGTCTTTGCTAAACAGAAGATGGATTCTGTCACAATCAATTTTCCAGTGTTTGATTTAGCAGGTCTAGTTAAGACTTGCTAAATTGAACTCAGAGGGTGCCCCCATTGGTGGCAGGTAATCCTGCTTCTGTGAGGAGTAAGGGAAGCCAATAGAAGCATTTCTACTCTCGGCCTCCCGCTGTGGGGTCGGTGGGAAAACTCGAAACAAGATACATTGACTCCAGCTATGTAACTAACACAGCTGGAGTGGCGTACCTTCATTCCACCGTCCCCTTTAGTTTAGACTCAGTCTAGTAGTTTTATCTTTGGATTCATTGGTGTTCCTCCCGTGACGCTGCACCACGTGGACTGGTGTTTTCACATGCCAGTCACAGAAGTCTGGCCACGAGCAGCTCCAGGTTTCTAAGAGTTGTTTTTGAGGTTGAACCAAAAGCTTAGCATCCGTGATCTGAAACCAGTCTACATCATCCTCACCCACGAAAGCTCATCACCTAATAAACCATCTTGTTAGTCTTTAAAGTGCTACATAGCCCTGTTTTTTGTTTCAGCTGCACCAGACTAACACGGCTACATTTCTATCACTATTTGTTACCAGATACACTCGTCAGTGTGGCCATCCTACTGGGACACTCTAGTTTGAGATGATCTAGGTGAACTTTGCGAGATGATTAATTATTCAACACTCTGTCATGATTATGAGGGTTAGCCAGCAGCCTGGGGATTAAGGGGTTAACTACACCTAGCCAGGTGGAGTGACCAATAGGAATGTAGGTGGGACTTTTCAAACTGGGACAAAGGAATTTGGGTTTGTCCTTTCTCCCTTTTGTCTCTCTGAGAGAGAGTTCTCTACAGCTAGAGAGAGGGACAAGCATGTCTCTCTCTCTCCAAGACACCATTCTTCATTTTCTGTAAGTAGGGTAAAGTTTAGGTAGTTTCGTTAGGTTTTATTGTTTTAAGGATTGGGTATGGGATCTGAGATCTGGCACTGCTTACAAGATGTTTTGGCTTTTCTTTGTAACTAAGTTCTAGGCCCATGGAGTTTCTCCATGAGTATATTTTGTTACCTCCCTATCTAGTCATTATGTTTGCAACAGGAATATTGTTGTAATAATAAAAGTTCTTTCTTTTCTTTTATTAACCTGGCAGTGGTTAATGGTGTGCCTTGATTTTTATCTTAGGGGTGAGATTTCCCAAATGATCTTTCCCCTGATTTCTTTATCAACATTTGGGTGGTGGCAGCGGAAGTTTTGTTCCCAAGATCTAGGTTTTTAAGATTTGGGGGGAAGTTTTATACCAAAGCCTGGTAGATAAGGCTTTGGGGTACACTTGCTGGCCCCCATGTCTGCATTTATCATGCCAGAGTGGGGAAGGAGCCATGACACACTGCTCCAAGGAATACAAACTTTTGGACTACCTGCATTTGTCACTGTAAAGATAGTCAAGTGTCCGGCTTCTCCCGATCTGTTCCTGGTTAAAAGCATCCCCTTAGTTGTTGCAAATGAGAATGTAAATCTCCAATCACTTCCCCACTTGGAAGTTCTCTGGAACGCCGCATGTATCTGCTCTTGGACTGCGTTCGGCCTTTCATGCTTAGTCCCTACGCTACAGTAAGCTCCTGCATACTAACGTGTTTGCTTGGCACTCGCCACATTCTTTCCAGCCATTCACTAGTTCACTGGTTTCCTCAATAAGCCCCCTTCCCTCCACTGCTCATTCCTTTGATTCACATCACTACTGACCTTTGGAATTCTTCTGCCTTCCCCTCGCTTGCCAAGATTTCACATGGGCCAGAATCAGACGCTCAATTCAGACTCATAGAACACTGGAACTGGCAGGGACCTCGAGAGGCATCGAGTCCAGCCCCTGCCCTCATGGCAGGACCCAGCACTGTCTAGAGCAGCGGTCTCCAACCTTTTTATGCCCAAAATCGCCTTTTAAATGTCAGAACAAGCCAAGACCTACCGCTCCATCCTCCCCCCAGGCCCCACCCCTTCCTTGAAGCCCCGCCCTCTCTGTTCTCCTCCTCTCCATCACTTGCTATCCCCAGCCCTTATCAACTCTCAGGGCATGGCTATGCTGCCGCCTTTTTTTCAATTCTTCTATAGGAAGAGGTTTTTCCAAAATTTGGCCTGTCTAGACTGGGCCAAATGTCAGAAAAAACCCTTCTTTCGGAAGCCCCCTTATTCCTCGTGCAATGAGGAATACAGGGGTTGCTGAAAGAGCATGTTTGCTCTTCCGCTGTGTCAAGACTGGCCACTTTTTCTGGAAAAACTGGCCACATGTTCTCACCACTGACGCTCTCCTGTAAGGTTGTCAGTGTTCTGCAGAAATACTGTGCTGCTCCGGTTCGGGCAAAAGTCTTTTTCCGAAAGACATTTGTGCAAAAGGGCCAGTGTAGACAGCACAGGACTGTTTTCCGCAAAAAAGCCCCGGTTGCAAAAATGGCGATCGGGGCTTTTTTGCGGAAAAGCGCGTCTAGATTGGCCACGGACGCTTTTCCACAAAAAGTGCTTTTCCGGAAAAGCATCCTGCCAATCTAGACGCGCTTTTCCGAAAATGCTTTTAACAGAAAAGTTTTCCGTTAAAAGTATTTCCGGAAAATCATGCCAGTGTAGACGTAGCCCTTCAGTGATAGAGATTCCACACGCTCCCCAGGCAATTTATTCCCGTGTTTCACCCCCCTGACAGGCAGGAAGTTTTTCCTAACATCCAACCTAAACCTCCCTTCTGCAATTTAAGCCCCTTGCTGCTTGTCCTGTCCTCAGAGGCCAAGAACAATTTTCTTCCCTCCTCCTTGTAACATCCTTTTAAATACTTGAATGCTCTCATGTCCCCCTCAGTCTCCTCTTTTCGAAACTAAACAAACCCAATGTTTTCAGTCTTCCCTCATGGCTCATGTTCTCTAGACCTTTCATCGTCTTTTCACCTCTGGACCTTTCCCCATTTCTCCACATCCTTGGCCACGATTTTCAGTGTGTAGCAGAGCGATGAACCCAGCTCCCAGCGCCTCTACTGAAAGGTACGTGCAGGTTTCCTTTGAGGCTGAGCACTGGTAAGTCAGACCAAGAGTGATCGTTTTCTGCTTCAAGATAGAAATGAACCCCCTTCCGACGGCGCACTCCTAGTTCTCTCCTACCGCCCCCCACTGGAACCCACAGGGGGTCCTCACATAGCTGCAGCCTGTACTCCGTGGAGACCCCGCCCTGAAAGAACTCTCTCCTGAACCCCCACTTCTGGCTTCAAGCCACCCCCAACCTCTCTAAGCTCGTCCTCTGAGGCAGGCACTACACGGACCAGACCCACCAATTCAGAGGCTGCCCGAGCAACAGACACAAAAGCTGCTCCCCCAGGACAGAGCTGTCAAGGCCCATGGACCCTAGGCCTGCCTAACACAGCACGTGGTACGTCACCGGGTGCACAGAACGCCCCCGCCAGAGCCACGCGAATGAACCAGACAACCACTGCTCTCTGGCA